CCAAGCAAAATCTTTCTTTCAAAAAGTCAGTCACCTTCCCAGGATCACGAGCGATATCATTTATGCCAGCGTCTGAAACCAGAGTGATAAGAGTCAAGAAGACACTCGCGTACCTATAGAAAGAAACAATAGGGGAGTTCGAATTTCAATTTGTGCGCCATTGAGTAGTGAGAAGTAAAGAGGAAAAAAAATGTTTCTAAAATTAGTCTTGAATTAAAGAAAAGAGATGAAGACAAGCAGATCGAATAATTAAGTACTATAGGTTGTAACCGATGAGGTAGCATCCTGGTTTTAAAAGAGTAAGTACTGGTTACCGCTTTACCTGATAAATTGTAATCCGGGACATTTTTTTGCTATTCAAGAAACGGTCAATCGTAGTTGCTGTTACTAAAAGGAAACGCAAGGGCTGCAACGGAAATTATTTTTAAACTAAGCGAAGGCCAAGGAGGAACAGTTTCTTTTTGCGATAAATAACAATTAAAATAGCTAGCAACACTTTTTTATTTGTAATATATTAGGAGGCTAATAGTTTTCTAAGTATATTAATGTCTAATAGTTTCTTATTGAACTGAGAGCGATTGTTGAAGAAAAGTATTAATTTAATTGCAAATCAACTACTTTGTGAAAGCTTATACGAAATTCCTCACTCAAAGCTTTGTTAAACGAAAAAGATACTCTTTTAAAAAGGCTGAATACATTCGATTTCGTTTAAGGTGATGATGGACTAGTGGTTAAATTTTTGCAGACTGAGTAGGCCTCACGTTTCCATTGAATTTCACATAGCCTTACTTTGCAAAATGTATTCTCATTCAGGGTAGACTGCAGTTTCGACCTCGCCTAGGTCGAATAAGCATTCACAGCGGGACTCGAATACGAGTAGTGTGGCATAAACTCTTGACAAATAATCGCTACACTGCCATGAGTGGCCTTGGACCACGGTAAATACATGAACTTCGAGTAGGACCAGGCTTTTTCCCTATCACATTACTGTAGTGAGATTGTCTATGAAATAAAGTTGCAATAACTTCTTTTATGCTTTATAAGCTCTTATATAAGAGATGTATTTACCCATTATCCGAATTTAAAACCAGAATAGGGGGCTGACCGGAAGAAGGCGAGGTCGAAACTGTAGTCCATCCTGAATAAGAATATCTTTTGGGAAGCAAGGCTATGTGAAATTCAATGAGAAAAACTGTTATACTCATATCATTGTGGAAAACATTGTTTAGCAGTACCTCATCATCTTAAAGGAAATATGAAAAACGCCGATTTTAAGATCTAATAGTAGCTTTGAAAACTTACTTATAAACGAAAATGATGCTCTGCCACATCCCCTGCATCATCCTACCTCACTTCCACACGAAGAGCAGTCTCGTTTCTACTCAAATTTACACTCAAATAAACTCAAGTTATGCATCCATCTGAGATCCTTTGGGGTAGTCACATTAACTTTCGGTCCAAGCCCCATTGAAAACTTCTTAAATGTCCCTGCACGCCTTTAAGATAGTTACTGAATGCTTTTTAATATTCCCAAATATGTTCTTAATTATGGCTCTCCCGTATTACATTTATAAGTATGGTTTCGAGACTACAAGTAAGTAAATTAATATGAGATATATTCACCCTTTTTCGTTTTAGGTAATGAAACCCTACTTAGAAAAGAAAACATATGTAATGTAGTCGATTTTTATAGCAAATATAATTTTGCTTCATCAACATTCCTACCAAAGACAGTTTTATGGAAAAATGCCTCACCCTCTATGTTATTCACATTTGCCCTGTGGCTCAACGATACTCGTTGAAATGTGGCGTAGTGGTTAACGTGCTGAGGTTACAAGCTGCACTGTAATGTTCCCGCTAGAGGTCTTGATAAGACCTAGGCGAGATTAAAACTATAATCTACTCAGGATGAGAACAGCTTTTGGGAACACAAGGCTATATGAAATTCAATTAAAGCGTCAGCTCTACTCCTATTATTGTGGAAAAATTCAACTATCAGTCCTTCAAAACCTAAAACGAAATAGGGTGAATACATCTCATATATCCCTTTCTAGTCGGTTTGAGATGTAATCATATCAATGTAAATTGTGATAACAAGGCCCTTTACCAATTCATAAAACAAAGCTTGACCTTATTAGATAAAACTTCATATAAGAATATCATTATCTGATTATACAGAGCTCTGGTCCTAATAGAACTGAACCGGTGAATGTTGCCTAAAATACTTCAAGTATATAAAATGAGAGTTACCTTCTTAGAATAAGAAAAGCCGTGAAACTTGTGCTCCAGAAAGCGTTGAACTGCTTTGTTCCCGGACCCCCCATGCCTTCGAGCATAGCTTTGGTTAGACGGACCTCAGGAGCAAGTGGCTTGGGATCATTACCGAGAATGAAGCCAAAGTCTATGTGGAAAAGATGACCGTCATTGGTAAGCATAAGGTTCTCCATGTGCCTGTCACCAACACCCAGCAGGTAAGTGATTACACAATATCCAGCTGGAAAACATCAAAGTGAAAACTAAATCACAATATAGATATATCTTTTTTCTTAATTATATCAATGTGGATCGAAGGTAATGATACTAACTAACTGACAAAGTGCATGTGAGGGTTTAATACGACTTGTTTTTGCTAAGCTTAAAGCAAATATATGCAAATATATAGTTATAATGAAATAAAATAAATATAACCGAACAAAACTGAGTTAAAAGTTGTTTGACCTTGTCTTCGCAACTTGTTCATATTAGCAGGAAGACTTAGAGGAGCGCACCTTGTCCGAAGTGCATAGTATGCATGATAATTTCCAGTGGGATTAAGTACTTGGTACATTCCCAGACTTTTGGGAAATCAAAGCTATGTGAAATTCAATGAAAACGTCAGGTCTACTCATATCATTGTGGGGAAATTCTACTAGCAGTCCTTCATCACCTTAAACGAAATTGGGTGAATACATCTCATACTAAATATCGTTAAGATTGAAATATTGTCTAAGCGGAGCAAATATAACTTATGGCTGAAACCATACACAAAGTAAAAAAAGTAAAAAAGTTGTTTGACCTTGTTTTCACAACTTGGCCATATTGGTAGGAAAACTTAAAGGAACGCACCTAGTCCGGAGTCCATTGTAAGCAACACCATTTCCAAAGTAGAACCGTGGACGTGGTACATTCTCAGAAGTTTCGCCGACATTATCAGTGAGTTTCGCCATTTGTAGCACCATTATACAACTCGTAAGAGACAAGTGAAGCCCATCTTTTGACCCAACGTGTGCTAAACAGTTATGGTATCTCCCCTTCAGCAGACAAAGACTTCACTTGTCTCTTTGACGAGTTGTAACATGGTTCTACGAATAGCGAGACTCACTGACGATGCCGACTATGATGCCGGCGAAACGTCTAGGAATGTACCACGTCCACGGTCCTACTCTGGAAATGATTATGCGTACAATGGACTCCGGAGTAGGTGCGTTCCTCTAAGTCTTTCTACAAATATGACCAAGTTGCGAAAACAAGGTCAAACAACTTCTATACAACCAAAGGAGACTGCGACCACACAAAAGGCCACACCATCTTGGTCTTCATACCTTCAAATAGACTATGGAAGTAAGATTGCCAAACTATGCAGTAATTACGAACGGGGCACGAAATCGACTGAAAATCGACCGAAAGATTGGCTGCATGTGGTGAAGATACAAGAAAACGCAAGATCCAAGAGGCCATCGAAATACTGACAGAGAGAGAGATCTAATAAACAAAAGACTTGAAGAAGACAGGGTTAGCGAAAACTTTGCATATTGCCTAAACAAACTCGGAGAAGACCAGGCAACAGTAAGATCAGCAAAAAG